GCCTCCTTCCTAGAGCAGAGTCCAGCTGGCGAGCGCAGGAGGCGGGGTTTCTGTTGCTTCGTGCCTTTTTCGGGCGTGCGTGGGTTCCGCGCTACTGGCAACTGCTCCCATCTCCTTTTTGCAAGGCGCCACCAGCATTTTTCCTCCCACCGGAGTGAGAGTATCCATTTATCTACTCACATGAGTTTTTGAACTGTTGGGTTGACAGGAACTGGGGAGGAAATGAGCTCACCCTGCTAATGCGAAGGCTGGGCTCAAACCGCTGAAGTATCGACCATTTCTGGCTTGCAACTTTCAGCGTCATTAAGCCGCTGCACCACCACGTCCCCAGTCAGGGGCAGCTGAGAGTTTCCTTATTTGAAAGCTTTCCATTTCCTTGTGGAAAGAGAGTGAAAGCCTAAATTCCTCCCTATCCTTCTCCCCTTTGCAAACTAGCTCTGCAAATCCAAAAGCTTCATAAACAGGATCAGAAAGTTCAAGTTGGTCGTCTTCCGTACTCTTCTTAATATAAAAATACAATGGAATCATTCATTGCTGAAAAGAAGCCCATCCATGTTTGTTTTCAAACTCCATTCTGGTCCTACCTGATTAAAATGGTCATGCCATGTGATTTTTCTTTCATTGATGGAAAACTTTCTGCCTGATGGTGCTTGAGGATCCATTTGTCCTACTATCACTTTCATGAAGGATTTGTTAGGGAAAGTAACCCAATTGATAATGTCAAATCCAGCTAGCAATTCACCCTTCTGGTCAAAAGACACCTTGTCTCCAGCACTGTTATTAAAGGAGACTCGACTTAGGAAATGGTAAAGCTGGAATGAATGAAATTTTGACAAGTTTTACCAAACTGATGGAAACAATGAAAATCTTTGGCTTGGAATAAAGTTTTGCTATATTCTGAAGCTATTTGATTATTTTATCACTCCATTATTAGTAGTCCCATTATTTCCTTCTTCCCTAATCAAACATTTCAGCTCAGCTCATCCTATTTGACATCTTTAAAAATGATATTAATTTAATGGTTATACCCCGCCCAGAGTCACTTTTTGTGAGATGGGCAGCTATATAAATTTACTAACTAACTAACTAACTAAGTAACTAACTAACTAACTATTTAAACTAAAAGGTGGTAGACTTTTTAAAAGTTTTGCTTAATGTGTGTCAAATAAACAGACTCAATTTTCTTTTGGCATAGAAATATCTTGGTAAACTTATGTCACTGATGGGAATCCAAGTATCTCAAAGCTAAGGTTTATTGTCTGCCAGGCGAATACTACTACTACTACTAAATCAAATTTATATGCCAACCGCTTCTCTGCGACTCTGGGTGGGTATCCAAGTGGTTGTTTAGCAACTATGAATTTTTTTCCTGCTATCACTATTGTGCAATTTTTATTATTTACTTAAGTTAGAATGTTCTGCAAAATGATAAAGATTTGATGCTATAGGTGTAAATTCTGGATTTTGTAGCATTATGCATCCTCAGAAATACACCTCTCATTTCCTTCAAAACTTATGAAAATGTTGGTCTCAAAAACGTTTAGTCCTTTTATTGCATTATGGAGTCTACTAACATGCATTTATCTCTACTGTTTATACCTACTGTCTTGTCTTCCCTGCATCTCTTTCGGGAAGACCCAGTAATACATTGTATACAGATGACCTTCTTATATAAATGAAGACATTAATATTACCAATAACATTGATCTGTCAAAAAAAAAGATCTGCCTTCTAGGTGAGACATTACCTGAAAATACTGTGATTTAGAAGTCCTTGGGTGATCTCTATCCAACACTGTTCCATGTGTCCTTCTGGATGAATGTAATGCATGCAAAGCATGCACCACAGCATAGACAGCATTGTAAACACTGTAGCTTTGACTGGTCATGCTCATTTCAAAAAAAGGCCGCGGAAGGCTTTCTAGTTTCTCACTGCCCGTACAGCTTCTATGGTTCTCCATATCTATGCCAAAAGCTGGGAATGAGCATTTAAATGCTTGTTCCCAGAAGACTCTGATAAAACTATCTGTAACAGAATGGGGATTCTGGAAGAGAAGGAAATTTTGAAATGCTAGCATCTCAGTGGTGTGACTTGCTAAGGACAAGGTACCATGGAAGACATGCATATTTAAATTATTTAAAAAGGGCTCCACTGAAAAATCCCAATGGGCCGTCATAACCCACACCTTCTGCACAGGCACCATCATGTCTGATTCGGCAAGATTGAGCACTATCTGCAAATCTAACATCATATGAGCATCAGCGCTTACAATGCAGACATTAACCTTTGCTTCACTGAGCAACAGGGCCATTTCTCTAAACATGCTATTGAAACTAACCACACCTAAAATACTGCTTTGGAGTGGCATTCGTTCAGCGAAGGCAATGCAAATTCCATTATCTGAAAAAAAATGTTCCAAGGTCTGCACAAACTTTTCTCCTTTATCATCCTCCATGGCCATCATTCCAACCCACTTCCACTGAAAATGAAGCAATAGCTGGACAATCCCAGTGTATTGATGCGCTTCATTAGGAACCATGCGGTATAAGAAAGAGGGGTGGCTTATATCATTCACTGGAGGAGTATATAAACAGTAGGTGACCTAAAGAAGAACATAATTACATTCATACTGGGGAAATATAAAAATATCTTCAGGGTCAAGCACTTTTCTATAATGCTAGTTCTTTTTCTCACATTTACAACCCCAAATCACTTAAGGGGCTGTTGGTGACTTTCTCCTTACCACTTTAACTTCAGAAAAGTGTAGTGAAATAAAAGAGGCTTACAGCCATCCCATGCTGAAGCTCAGTCAAAATGTTTCATGTCTGACTTGAATTGTGCTTTCTCTTTATTTACAACATGTTGTCCACCCTGTCTTCTCTGTACTTTGAAATAGACATTAAAGTAATATCCAAATGTGTATATTCTGTTTAGGATGTTCTGTGATGTATCAGTTCAAATATTTTATATTTGAGTTCATGATATTCACAGCTTAGGATCACAGATATGAAGAAACCAATCTTCAAATTCCATTCCATGCTCTAAAGTTATCTTCAGGGATCTTAGTTGGTGTCCTCTCAGGCTAAGGAAGTGGGTTACCTCCATGGTAGACACCAAGTTCTCCATAACGATGGATATCTGGACCTACTTTACTATCTTTCAAGCAGGAAGCAAAGATGTTTTTTCTTCTCCTAAGCATCCCTTAATATATTAATGCCATATTTTTAAATTGTATATATTCTAATTTATTTTTTTAATATAGCACCGTATGTATTGATTACATTTAAAATATTAATTGTGCATTTAGAGTGTTTTAAACCACATGGAGAAATGTAGTTGCTTCTCTATCTTGAATTCATATTGCATCTGCATAAATATTCATGCTGAACTAAATTCTCTCTTAATTATAGAGCGAAATATTTGGGTAGATTGATTTTACTTAGAATGAAGTATCAATCCATCTATCCAACTCTTCAGTATGTGTGCTAATAATAATCCTTACTGCATCTACCACATAACAATTTTTTTAATTGGATAAGAGAAGCTAAATAATTTATTTAGATGTCAGAGATATTTATCTCCCCCACCCTCTGTTTCCTTCTATTAAGTATCCTGAGAACATAGGGAAAATAAGTTTTGTCATTTTCATCCTGGAGTGTTAATTTATTTCAATGTTATTTATTTACAGCAATGTTTAACCTGTTTTCCTTTAAATGCTTGGCCAACTGGACACAATAAAAGAAACTAATGAATAATAGTAAAGAACAAAAAGTTCACACCATCCAAAATAATTGGTTAAATACCCTGTAATTTAAATGACAAAATCTAAACCCATGAAATCAGATCAAGATAGCAATGACAGGACTATACTACTGATGTAACAGCTTGACTTCAGACAAACCCTGAGTGAACAGAGATGCTGATGCTGACAGCTAATTAATAATGATAAAAGCTTAAGATAAAGACTCTCCTAAATTAAACTTGCTGACTTCACAGACATGTCTAAGTTGTTTTCTAGGTCACAAGGTGGAAATGGTTCACCAATGCCTTCTTCTGATATTTTATTTTCAACTTTCTAGTTTGGTCTACAGTCTTGGGAGTTCCTGATAGTCTCCTATTTAAGTGCTCCCCTGGTCTAATCCATATGTTCATACCCATTACACTATTTCCTTTGGGGAGAAACTATGTTATGCAGAGGACAGAAAAGGAACAAGCAGTAAAAAGTCAAGGCAATTAAAGATATGAAATAATAGGAAATATAAATAAAAGGAAATACATCTAACCTAGTTTACATAATTACTATTCCCTATATTTCTCCATGCCTTTCAATCCTTGCAAACCAACCTTGCCTCCAGTATGTCCATACAGAGTATCATACTCTGCTTTTTTTTTCAATGTCTCCTCTCTTTCTTTTTGAGGATCTCATCCACAACATGCAACTGTGACATTCTCAGTTTTCCCCTTCCTTTCGACCCATGTATTGCCCTTTCTCTATTTGTTTTGCGATTTGATCCTCATATCTTCTCTGTCCATGAGAAAACCATGAGCATGTATGGCTTTCCTATTCACTTTTGTATTCATTCCAAATTCATTCCTCGCCCATCCATTCTTGACTCTATCTCTCCTGTTATTATAACAGATACTTCTGAAGTATCCCATTCTCATTGCATTCAACTTATTTTTATGTGTCTCCTGACATAACCAATTCTCATTTCCATAGCAATGTCAGGTTCAGCTGGCACGGTACTGCTAGGAAACCCGGCCAGCCGTGCTGAGCCAATTCTACCGCCTGCTCACAAGCCGGGGAGAAAGAGGAATTGTGAGCCATGGCTGATTGATCAGCCACCTGTGGCCACTTAACAAGGAAACCGCAGAGTGGATGGATTGTACCCACTCTGATGAGTGGCGCGCTGGGACAAAGAGCAAAGCCGCGGGCTGCGGAAGGCGATCACTGCGCAATCGAGGAAATCCTGGCTTTGCGTGCAATGGAAAGGACCCTGGGGGAAACAAGACCACGCTGGAGCGGCAGAGCAATCTAAGACAATGGGATACTGGCTGAACCTGCCATTTGGAACATTAAGGGGGATTACTAGGGTATTGATAATCTGTAGCTTGTAACCTGACGACGGGGCGAACCGTGGGAAGGGGAGAGTTATAAATTGTACAACGAAATGTGCCAAGCCAGTCCTGGCTTTGTTTGTA